CTCAGTAGTTATCAAACCAATTCTAGTAATAAACCAGTGTTGACAGGCCAATCAGGGTGGATGTAGTCCACTCCCAATAATAGAGAAGGTGTCAATTCCAGGAGAGGAAAAGCTGCTTCTGTAATGAGCCAGCCACTCCCAGTCCCTATTCAAGCCCAGATTAATGGTGTTAAATTTGCAAATGAATTTTAGTTCTGCTGTTTCTCTTTGAAGTCTGTTTCTGAAGTTTTTAGGACTGGGAGTGGCAGTGGCTGGCTCATTACAGAAGCAGCTTTTCCTCTCCTGGAATTGACACCTCCTCATCTATTATTGGGAGTGGACTACATCCACCCTGATTGAATTGGCCTGTCAACACTGGTTCTCCACTTGTGAAGTAACTCCCTGCTCTCCATGTGTCAGTATATAATGCCTGCATCTGTAACTTTCACTCTATGCATCTGAAGAAGTGAGGTTTTTACCCACGAAAACTTATGCCCAAATAAATCTGTTAGTCTTTAAGGTGCCACCAGACTCCTTGTTGTTTTTGTAGATACAGACTAACACAGCTACCCCCTGATACTTTTCATGTTCTGTATATTTATACCTGCCTACTATATTTTCCACTCCGTGCATCTGGTGAAGTGGGTTCTAGCCCCCAAAAGCTTATGCCCAAATAAATTTTAGTCTCTAAGGTGCCACAAGGCCTCCTTGTTGTTTTTTGCTGATACAGACTAACAGGCTACCCCTCTGAAACCTGATTTTAGAAATGTCTTCCTGCTGCTTGTTGTTAGGGTGACCAGATGGCAAGCGTGAAAAATCGGGACGGGGGTGGAGGGTAATAGGAGCCTATGTAAGAAAAAGACCCAAAAATCGGGACTGTCCCTATAAAATCAGGACATCTGGTCACCCTACTTGTTGTTGTTTGTAGCGCTCCAGTTACCCAGCGAGACTTTCCAAAGCGAGACTTCCACCATCAGCAAGGGAACTGCGCTGGAGCAGAGAGCTGCGCCTGTGTGGGGGGTGTTTCAATCCACCTCGGCCCCCTCAGCCGGCCGGTTCGGAAGAGGGCAGGGGAAGCGCTGCTGACCGTGCTCCCCCGCTGCGGCAGGTCGGGCCGAGCCCAGCTCTAGCTCTCCAAAGCTCGGCCTGGGCGCAGACACCCATTTGCCCTCCTTCGCCTAACACCCCACGCCCTGTTGTTGCGGCGGGGGCAGCTACGCGGGGATTCGCAGCAGGCCGCCCCACGCATCCTAGCGCTGACGCTGTCATTAGGGGTTGCTGGGAAGCCGGGCTCGCTCCGCCCAGTCCTGCAGGGCCCTTCGGCCTCGGCCAGCTTGCGCGGGGACCTGGCTGGGGAGGCGGGCTGGTTCCCGGGGGGCAGCAGCCCATTTCAGACTGTCTCAATGCGAAGCTTGTGTCGCTACCACTTCCCCAATAGCGGCCTCTACCGGCTGCCGTAGCCCGCCGCTCCTGTGGCTAGGGCGATGGCGCTGTAGGTAGCTCCTGCGATCGCCTGAAGATAACCGCACTTCCTTCGGAGTAGCGGCCCGCGTTTGGAACGCCGCATTTCTGGGAGTTTCAGGAGGGGGCTCCGTAAACGCTCCCTGCCGCGGCGCCGGGCCCAGCGGAGAGGCAGGACTCAGGCACCTCTCTGGACGCGCATGGCTGGCCGTTGAGCAGTGGGGACCTGAGATTCGAACGGACGCAGCGGGCCAATCAGAGGCGGCGCCGGGGCTGAGCGCCGTGTTTGAGACGCGCAGGGAGGCGGGGGTGGGGCTGTGAAGGGTCGGGGACGGGATGTCCAGGGGGGCGGCGTGAGCAGGTCGGGATGGTGGTGAGGGGGTGAGAGGCCGGCCGAGGCGCGGCCGGGGCCGGAGGCAGAGGGGACGCGGGGCGCAGAGGCGCGGCGGAGCCGGGATGGCGGGGCGCGGCCGCGCCGTGGTGCGCCTGGCTGTGCTGCAGCAGCTGCGGGCCGCGTATGGGATCAAGGTGAAGAGTGGGAGCTGCCGAGGGGCGGCGGGGAAGCAGCCTGGAGCGGCGGCTGTAGAGGTAAGGGGGTGCTCCGGTAGGTGCTGTGGAGCCGCCTGCTAGCCTGGGGACACCCTGGGCAGAGCAGCCGGGGCCCTGAGAGGTGGGTGCCAGGCTTGTACCCCAATTAAGGTTACCACCTGGCTGGTATTTCACCCACCTGGCTGATTTTTTTTATGGATTTGCTAGTTGCCAGAAAAATAATTTAATTGGTCAGGTTTTCTTTTATGTGGGTCTAAAGATTTGCATTATTATCACAATACACTGGGATCTCTAACGTTAAAAGTTTCTGGGTCCAGCTAAAGATGCTGCAGTGTTCCCACTTCTGCCGTTTAAACAATAACTCATCAAAACTGTTGACTATAGAGCTGCTGTCTGCCCACCAAGAAGAAAACACATCACCCATGTGTCTGAGAGTGGGTTTGGGTCATGCAAGAGTGAAGAGACTGCAGAGACGTGGGACGTACGTTAAATAATGGAAGATCAGTGCAATGGTGCCAGTGATCCTAATACATCTCTTGGGGGGGAGGGGAGCTCACATCAGAAACTGCACATTCAGTGACAGCTGGCTAAATGAAACGACTACAAAGACTAGCTGGCAAAATGTGCTGATAAAAAGCAACTCTGTTATTGTGATGTTATCGAGCTTATCTATATATGTTATCTCACTAGATACTATAAGTGGCTGTTGAAGGTGGGCTTGCCTTGGGGTTGGGGTTGTGGTAGGCTTGCTTTGGGGAGGGAGGGAAGTGCTGGGTTTTTTGGATTTCAGAAGTGATAACCCTAACCCTTCCTGGTGCTGTATAAACAGGGCTGTAGTGGCGTAACAGGCTGTACGTGGAGAAACAGGGTGATTGTGTGCTACAAGGGATAAACTGGTCACTCGCTGAAGGTGTCAGGAAAAACTTTTTTAATGCTTGCATCTGGAGAGGTACAATAAGTGGGTTTTCCCATTCCCTGAGCTGGTTACTGCAGCAGTCAGTCAGCTAATACCAGTGGTGTGATTTGGTAAAGTGACAAGTGTGTAACTGCTGATATTCCCTCCTGGGATCTCTGCATGCTGCAAGGCAGAAAGACCTTGAAAGAGGAACTGCACTCTTAAATTAGTGCTTGCTTCCACAGTACTTAATATTTTCAGTGATGCCAAGTGTGCCAAAGGTGCTATTGAATATTGCCAATTTGGTAAGCACTTTTTGCATTTTAAGTGCTTTATCATCTCTGATTCTAAATGAAATTTTCTGCCATTTGTCTCATCTAATCACTGTACATAGATGCTGTACGATTACCCATCACTGTGTCTCTTTTCCAATTATTTGATTCTCTGTACTCTAGCATTGAGAGGCTTTTCTTTGCATAATGACTGTAGAGTTTCTTAATATTAAATATAATAAATGTTCTTGCACTTTGAGTGCACTTCAGTATAACCTGAAAGTGAACTTTAAAGTGTTTGGGCTGAGTTCTAATGTAGTTTATTCTTATTGACGCTTCAGAAGTACATCCTCAGGATATTCTATTATTCAGTACCAAACGCTACCCTCCATTGTCTAAAATAGAAATTGTAACTCTCATGTTAATAACCAGAAATGGATTTACTCTAAAAATCAAGATACTCTGAATATATTTTAAAAGAAAACAATTCCTTTCTCTCAGTATTTAGGTCAACATAAAGATATCATAATGCAGGTAACACTGTAAGATATCAGCTTGTGCGGGGCTATGGAAGTCAAAGCACAATGTTCTGTGATTACTCAAATGCCAGTTAACTAACCAAATTCATGGCCATGAAAAACTTGTCACAGACCGTGAAATCTGGTCTTTTGTGTGCTTTTACCCTATACTATACAGATTTCACGGGGGGAGACCTGGGTTGCTCAAACTGGGGGTCCTGATCCAAAAGGGATTTGCAGGGGGGGGTCACAAAGTTATTTTAGGGTAGTTGCAGTATTGCCACCCTTACTTCGGCACTGCCTTCAGAGCTGGACGGCCGGAGAGCGGGCGCCCAGCTCTGAAGGCAGCACCCCGCCAGCAGCAGTGCAGAAAGGGTGGTAGTACCATAACATGCTATCCTTACTTCTGCGCCTCTGCTGGCGGTGGCTCTGCCTTCAGAGCTGGGCTCTCGGCCAGCAACCACCACTCTCCAGCTGCCCAGCTCTGAAGGCAGCCATCGCCAGCAGCAGCACAGAAGTAAGAGTAGCAGTACCGCAACCCGCCTACGATAACCATGTGAACTCCCCTCCCCCACAACTCTTTTTTGGGACTCCTACAATTATGACACTGTGAAATTTCAGATTTAAATAGTTGAAATCATGACATTTACTATTTTTAAAATTCTACGACTGTGAACTTGACCAAAATGGACCATGAATTTGGTAGGGCCCTAACTATATTTAATTAGAAAGCATGCAAGGGACCCAAATCCTGGGCCTTGCTGAAGTGACTTTGTGCCACTGATGCAGCATGAAGCTGAGTATTCCTCTGACATTTGCTTTGTGCCAGCCTTGCTTACCTTGCTCCACAGGCACCTTGATGGGAATTGGAACACAATACATATAGCTGATCCCTGGTCATTGTGAGTTAGAATAGCCTTGTTCTGGGCTGGTTTGGCTTGGCTCCCTGCAGAGTGTAGGGAAGCATAAAAGTGGTCATCTTTAGAGCCACCTTCCCCATCCTCTTTCAGCTTCAAATGTGAATTCCTATATTAAAGGAATAGTAACAGGAAGGTGACCAAGAGAACAGGAAGGATATAGGTATGTGTGACTGATGTTAGTGCATTGTGGACACTTACACACATACCTTCTACAGTGAATTAAATCCTTTTGCATAACCACCAGTCATACTGAAACACAGTGAGAAACTAATAATGGGCTCTCTTGTCAGACATAGTAGGGACAAGATTTCTTCTGCAGTTGTGGAACAGACCTCTTTCCCAGTGATTCAGGAGATTGCTTCTTGACCTGTTAGCTAATATCCAGTAGAGTGTCAATGATATCCCTAATCAGGGGATGACTTACTGCCTTTGGAAGCTGGGGTGGGCATGATCTCTAATTACTCTGATCCTATGAATTTACAAGATTCTATCTCTGTTGAATTTAGCTTTTAGTTAGTTTGTGTCTTCAGCACAATTCTGTAATGAGATGGTTGGTATAACTTTTCTTCTGTTGAATGAATCCTACTGTGGCCTGGTCCACACTAACCCCCCACTTCGAACTAAGATACGCAACTTCAGCTACGTGAATAACGTAGCTGAAGTCGAAGTACCTTAGTTCGAACTTACCGCGGGTCCAGACGCGTCAGGCAGGCTCCCCCATCGACTCCGCGTACTCCTCTCACGGAGCAAGAGTACCGGCGTCGACGGCAAGCACTTCCGGGATCGATTTATCGCCTCTATACAACACGCGATAAATCGATCCCAGAAGATCGATTGCTTACCGCTGGACCCGGAGGTAAGTATAGACCTACCCTGTGTTTAAAAGTAATAGTTTTGCTAGGGCAGAGATACCAAAGATGGTTTGCATAAGTTATTTCTTAACTTGTTACCATGTAGCCAGCACTTTGAATTCTGAGTATTCAAAATGAAGTGGGGGAAGTTCTGTTTTTATTCAGCTTCTGAAGCAAGTGAAAATACAGAATTTGTTTGATTTGATTATTCCGAAGAGAACAAAATAAATGGTGTGATATAGATCTAGCACAAATTAAAATGAAAAATTAGGTGCATCACAGTAGCAAAAAACATAACAGTCCAGCTTAGCTCACAACTTGGGCTATATTAAAACTTGGACATCCATAACTGCCAGACATCTGTGTGCTACCATGATTAGCACTGGTAGTGTAGATGAGCCTTAGAAAAGTCTAGCTAGGTACTAGAGATCACAGGTGAATTTTTTTTTCTAATATGTAGAAAACAGACATTATGGGATCTTAGAGTCTTGCCACTGAGCCACAAACAGTAGAGACCTATAATTGTTTTGTGAATGCAAATGATAAATGTGTTAGGGTTAGGATGTTCTATTACAGGATTGAGGTGATCATCCTTAAATGGCAATGACTATCTTGGGTAAAAAATGGCTGCTTTTTAATTGCAATTAAAATATGCATTGTAAAAAGAACCCAATCCGTTTGGAAAATTACTTTAGATGCTACTTCAGCCCTTAGTATACCTGCTAACTTTTGTGGTTTCACACAGGACATGGGGAAGCTGACTCTAGATCAAGTGCTATAAAATGTCCAAAATAAGCAAACTTGGAAAATAGGGAGTATTTTTCTAATCTTTGTTATGGTAATTTTGGATGTTATCTGAAATGTATTTACTGTTTACTATTTATTTACAAATAAGTATCTTTTTAAAGTTGGCAGTGTCCCTTTAACAATTAGTATGACATCAGTTCTTATCCAAAAGTTTTGGCTTTCTCTTCAGTTCTTGTGTTGTGCTCTATGTATTTGTCTATATTTCTGCAGTATTTGCCCGGTAAAATTTTCATAGCTGCTTGAGCAACATTAATTGAGTTTTGCGTTTTAGGGCAAAGTCTTTGGAATATCGCTTCATTCATTACCTCAGTCAGTTGTACCAGAGTACGGAAGTATTCCAAGGTAAGTAAAGATTGTGTGTTTTAAACTGGAACCATATTTACTTTGGGCCTGTCTACATCATTTACCGCTTTGATTTTGAGGGACATATTTTTCTCTTCAACAAAAAATATTTTTCAAAGTAGAAAGGAATTCCACAATTGCTTTTCTGTGACTGGTCAGGCTTCTCAGGGGAAGGGAATTCTCTCTTGGAAAGAGAGGTTGGAAAACAGACAGGAACCCATAAGGTTGTCACTCACTTGCATTTACTTTCAGTTTCTTACTGTGATTGGAGAAAATAAACATTTTCTAAAATATTATTTTCTGTGACATTATTTATCACAGGAAAATTGAACTGTGCAAAGATATAAAACATACTGTGACTTTCTTTCCTCAGCTTTCTTGTTGATGCTTGCAAATATTTAGAAGAACATGTTCACACTGAAGGACTCTTCAGGAAATCTGGATCTTTTGTCCGTTTAAAAACATTAAAGGTATTTTTTTTCCCTTTCAAAGAGTGATTGTATTGGACTTGAGCTACATTTCACCCAAGTGTCTATATGTCTAACTTTCTGATTCTCTTTAGAAGCAATCATGTTTTGTGCTGGGAGTAGTTGGATAAGCTTTCTGATCACTAGTCACTGGACCCCCTTCTCCTCCCTCCAGACACAAACTTCAGTCCTTTGTGTATAGTTATTGAAACAACCAAAGAACTGTTTTTTCATCTTTCTGGAATGTTAGAGGAAGGACATGAGATTAAACAAAAATAAGTTTATTTTTAGATATCATGGGAACTTAAACTTGGTAGCTTTCTCCCACAGCAAGGTGGGCTGAGGAGAAACTATAAATCCAGAAAAAAATGCAGTACAGAAGGATGGCATGGTATGGTATTGCCACCCTTATTTCTGCACTGCTGGGCCCTCAGTAAGCAGCCACCACTCTCCAGCTGCCCCTGAAAGCAGGAGTAAGGGTGGTGTGGTATGGTATTGCCACCCTTACTTCTGCACTGTTGTTGGCAGGATGCTGCCTTCCGAGCTGGGCACCCATCCAACAGCCTCAACTCTCCAGCCACCCGGCTCTGAAGGTGGTGCAGAAGTAAGGGTGGCAATGCTGCGACCCCTCTAAAATAACCTTGCCACTCCCCACCCTTGCAACTCCCTTTTGGGTCAGGACCCCCAATTTGAGAAATGCTGGTCTCCCCTCGGAAATCTGTGTATTGTGTGTTTTTTACCCTATACAAGACCAGATTTCACGGTCCATGATTGTTTTTCATGACTGAATTTGGTAGGGCCGTAATGATAAGACTACAAACTAGTAAAGGTAAGACATCTAATTGCTTTTGAAGGCCTCAACTTATGCTAGTTATGAACCATTTCAGAGTCAACTGGATCAAGGTGAAAACTGTCTACCTGCAGCACTGCCATGTGATGTTGCAGGGCTTCTTAAACAGTTCTTTAGAGAGTTACCAGAGCCGATCCTTCCAACTGATCTGCAGGAAGCTCTTTTCAAGGCTCAGCACCTAGAAAATGAGGAGAAGAACACTGCCACAGTGCTGCTTTCTTGTCTTGTGGCTGACAGAACAATAGATACTTTGCGATACTTTTTCAACTTTCTCAGAAATGTGTCCCTAAGGTAAGAAGAGAAATATAGGTGTGGTACTTGTAACAAACTCTGAAAATTCCTATAATATGTCTAAAACCAGAGGAGTGCTGTAACTTTCTCTGTTAGTATTATGACTATAAATATTCTTAATGACATTCATTTACCAGTAATAATGTAAGCATTATGTCAGCTCCTGACTTTTTTTGGGTGTATGTCATAGGGTCTTCATGTAGCAGGAACTAGACTCCTATTCCAGTTTTCTGGCTGCCATATTGCCACCTCTTCTTTTCCAAAAGAGCAACGAATATGAGATTACCCCCATCTGGCTGATCCTCTTGCTTTGTGAAAACTGATGGGCTGTGGAAACTGTTAAGCTAAATATCATGTATAAGTCATTAACTAGCCAGTGGTGTAAGTGTATTGAATCTGCCCTAAATCTTAGTGTGTGTTTTCTCTCACAAATGCAAGTCTTCCACTTCAACTAAAAAGTTGCATTAGCCTGTTTTGTCTATCCCCACTGCTTATGTTCTGATCAAGAGAGAATGTAAAGACAAAACTGATACTTGCAAGCTCTTATCTTTTCTTTCTTTTTAATAAGATCCAATGAGAACAAAATGGATAGCAGTAATCTGGCAGTGATTTTTGCTCCAAACCTCTTGCACTCAAGTGATAATGAAAAGATGTCTGTTAACACAGAAAAAAAGCTTCGTTTGCAGGCTGCTGTTGTGCAAACACTTATTGATCATGCAGCAGATATTGGTAAGATGACAACTGAATAAATTGTTGAAATGACTATGCATTTATTTATATTAAATACAGATATGTTTATAGAACTATAGTTTCCAATTTAATTTTTTTTTAAACTCTACAAACATCTAATTCAGGACGTGTACCGGAATTTATCCTGGAAAAAATACCTGCTATGTTAGGTATTGATGCTCTTGATTCTACTCCTTCACTGAGAGGCTATGAAGAAAGTGAATCTCCTAGTCAGTGTAAGAGAAGAAGACGACGAAGTGTTGGGGGTGAGTACATATACTGAAAATTTGACTGACTACAGTTCAATGAGTAAATATAAAGATAGACTCAACTGAGGCTTTAGGACCATGTAGAAAACTAAATCCATGTATCTCAAGAGGACCCGCTTCTCCCTAAGCACCACAGACTGCTGTATCAACTGGCTGTGAAGTTTGCTACGCTCAGGTTGAAAATGGTGAACTTTATAAAAGGTTTCACAAAGTTGGAAAACTTCTTAACATTTCATAATTATTGATGTAAAAACTACTAGGTTGTGCAGTCATGCCATAACATTTCTTTTGTATGTCCTCTTCATTCTGACTGAAAAGGTTATTTTCTTTCAGGCTGTGTGCGGCAGGATAATGTTTTAGCTTTTAGCCTCTGGAGATCTGGTTTCAAATCCTCTTTTTTTTTGAGTCGCAAATGAAAATAGTTTTGAGGTGTCTTCCTAGTCTTTAGTGAGTGATTGTTCACATAAAACGACCACACAACCTCTGACACAGTTGGCATTTCTGTTCAAGAGAGGGCCAGGACTGGAATAACACTGGTATTGTAAATTGGAACACAAATGCTCTGAGAAAAAGCTTATCCATGTTAAACCAGGCTTTATAGCTAGCTTGCGATTTTTAGTTGCTTGCTTTCATGAGCACTAAAGTCACAAAATTAGACGCACAGGATCTTTCTCTCTGACTATATATTTTAAAAAGCTATCAAACTTGATGGAATATGTTGGCTATGAGATACTTATTCTCCCATGTGTTGCTCACATGAGGGATTCATGTAGCTTGCAAAATGAATAGATGGCACAGGATCTAGTTAGTAGATTTGATTGCGGAGAGAAATTGATAATTTAGTTCATGAAAGCCTATCGAATATTAAAATCAGGAATAGGTATGTTTATGTACTCCTGGCAATAAAAAACTCCTTAAACCAGTATCATATGACTTCCCTACTCTAAAAATGCCTACTGAATTCTAAATTGACACACTGCATTTATTGCAGACTGTCTGTATTTTGTTTCCCATTTTAACCAGCATATATGTAAAGTATTTGCTAGCTCTTTCCCCAACTTCGCTGATCGCTTTTTAAAAATTAATCTTCTAACCAGCCTATTGGCCTTAATCTATTACATTACTTGGAAGATCCGAAACAATGATGAGAATGTACTAGTAGTCCTTTCCATTCAACAAATTAAGCACTTGGGTGTTAATTATTAGGGTAGATGGGTGGTGTTAGTAAGTAAGTGTGTGTGTGTATAATATACAAATTTATATATTAATGCTGTCAATTAATTGCAGTTAACTCACGCAATTAACTAAAAAAAATCGCGATTAATCGCATTGTTAAACAATAGAATACCAATTGAAATTAATTAAATATTTTTGGATGGTTTTTCTACAGTTTCAAATATATTGATTTCAGTTACAACACAGAATACAAAGTATACACTGCTCACTTTATATTTTTGATTACAAATATTTGCATTGTAAAAATGATAAAACTATTTTTCAGTTCACCTCAGACAAGAACTGTAGTGTAATCTTTTTCATGAAATGCAACTTACAAATGTAGATTTTGTTTTTGTTACATAACTGCACTCAAAAACAAAACAATGCAAAATTTTAGAGCCTACAAGTCCACTTAATCCTACTTCTTGTTCAGCCAATGGTTAAACAAATTTGTTTACATTTACAGGAGAGAATGCTGCCCATATTTTCTTTTTAAAAATGTTTTAAAAACAAACAACATGGAAACTACTCTGATATCTTTGTCATTGATGGTGCCTCTTTCACATAAAATCATATCTCTTTTAAAAAATAGAGCAAGACAAGTCAATAGTAAAGCTTGATTGCTTGGTATGTCTTGCATTTCAGATATTGTTAGTGGAGCATTGAATAAACTTAAATCTAACAGAACACCCTCCACTACACCTCAGCGAGACAGAAATGGTAGGTATTTAGTGTTTGTTTGCACTAAATAGAGCCTCATGCAGTATCTTTAGATTTGTGGACTATATTCTAGCAAGGCTGAAACTAAAGATTATGAATTTAGTTTTATTCCAAAGAGGTACCAGTTTCTAAACAAAGTTTATGGTCAAAATTGAATATAGTTACATTTTCAGTGAGGATACTGCATTTAGACTTAGAGCTGCTAGCACTGAGCAGTTCTAGGATTAGAAATTAATCTGCTTTTATCTAATGAAAACTAAGGCTTGAATATAGTAGGGTAGCATGCAGCCACGTTGAGTATTAGAGAATGAATTTATGCTTAAATTCAAATATATTTATCTTGCTTTGCTCTCTCCCTTTATAAACTTGCAAAAGGTAACTGTTTTCTTGCAATGAAGACTGCAGCTAAAACTCTTCCCACCTATATTTTCTTGTCATATTAACTTGGTTTTTGGACTTTCCTATGCAAAATTTATTAAAGCTATTTGAGTGCCATGCCTGTTTTTAAAATGCATGTGTCTTGGTTCAGTTTTGAATAACTGCTTCTGGAGAAACAAAGCTGACTTACAAACAATATAGTATTTAACTTCATATGCTCTCAACTTTAAGCGCTTATTGCAGATACAGTTTTATTAATTGTAGTCTTTCCATCAGTGACTCCATTGATTCTTACTCCAAGCACCAAGCGTAAACTTCCAACTGATTCTTCTCAAGGCTTCTCTAGCAAGAAAAGGCGGTCCCTGAAGCATAATTTTGCTTTTGAATTGCTCTCAAGTAGCCTGTTTAGCAGCGCCTCAACACCAGCATCAGGTACAGTGACTTACAGTGTAGCTTGAAGGCTTTCAGTTTGTGCTGTTAATGACTTGAAATCTATTGCTCTTAGTGGGTAGTCATAGAAGAGCACTTGCACTCAAATAACAATTTAATTACCTTGGTTCCTTGCGCTTTGCACCGTATCTGTGGGAGATCTTATCCGGTCACATTGCTTCAGCTATGATCTGTGCTGATAACTCTCTGAAATCTATGTATCCATAACTGACTTGTCTCTATCCATCCAATTCTGCATTTCTGATTCTCTGTAGCAGCTCCTCTTGAACATCTTGTTAAAAGCTTGAAAGGTAAAATTTCAAAAGCACCCAATGAAAGTCGAGGATGTCAAGACTTAGGCATTCTGAACGTTTACCTGAAATGGCCAAAATAGAATTCCTTTTCTTCCCTCCCCAGCCTTCTGTATTTCACTATTCACAAAACGACTATCTTTCCCATTACTCACTCCTGCAATATCGAGGGTTTTTTTTTTTTTCTCTCTCCTTATATCATATCTAGGTCATAGTCAAATCTCTCATATCTTGCCTAGAATATTGCTGCATTCTCCTCTCTGTGGTCTCCTAAACACACCGTTGTCCTTTACACTGTACAAAATGCAGCTGCTAAAGTAATCTTTCTTCTATAACCTTTACACTGGCTCCCTATTCTGTATTGCTTCAAATTTAACCTTCTTGTCCTCATCTTCAAAGCTTTGCTTAAATTTGCCCCACCCTACTTTCTTCCCTTGTCAAGCTTGTATTGACCTCATCTCCTCCATACTGCTTGTTCCCAGGCTTGTTGTTCCAGGTTTGTCAGTTTTTCTCTCTCAATCACCTCTGCCTTATTCTGTGTCACTGCATGTTACAATCTCTGAGTTTATCTGCAAGACCACTATCCTGGCTATGTTTAAGTCTTTAATAAAGACCCACTCTTATTAGGCTGCTTATTGTGAGCTGAGTTGAATTACATATAAACTACCTATTCCTGTTCTACTAACCTCTTTGTCATTGTGTTGTGATCTTACAGAGCAGGAACAGTCCTTCTTTAGTGCCCATTAAGTGCTTTCCAAATATTAAGTATTAACATAAATAGTGAAGATAATTTAGTTAATCATATCTGCTGTGAAGTACAGATAAGTACTAATGTTTTAGAAGATGCTAGCAACACAGCTCAGCTTTCTGTGCAGGCTGATGGATAAAATACCATATCCTTCATTGTTATACTTCTTAAAACTCTCTTCTAGCTAAGGGCTGGTCTATTGGGGGGGGTGGGTGTCGATGTAAGATACGCAACTTCAGCTATGGGAATAGCGTAGCTGAAGTCGACGTATCTTATTTCGACTTAGCTCGGGTCCTCACAGCGCGGGATCGACATCCACGGCTCCCCTGTCGACTACGCTGCCGCTGCTCGCCCTGGTGGAGTTCCGGAATCAACGGGGAGCGAATTCGGGAATTGATATATCGTGTCTAGACAAGACGTGATATATCGATCCCCGATAGATCAATTACTACCCCCGATTAGGATACGTCCAGACTACCCGCCTAAGTGTTGTAGAACGTATACTTGATCTAGTGTTGTCAAAGATCAAGACTGTCTCTTGTCATTTTTAATCTTAAGACAAAAACTTAAATCTATTTTGATTGTGTTTTATTTAATATTGACAACTTTTGAACAATGATCTTCTAACTAATCTGCATGGAAATAATTTAAGATGTGACACTAGCAGCATACATGTTCTCCCACTTCTCAGTGTCAAAACAAAGGTTGTCTTTGGGTATGGTGAATTCACCCTCTTCTTTTATGTAAGACTACAAGCAAACAGAATTAATTGTTTCTGTGTCAGTTCTCTCAAGAACATTGTGCTGAACAAATGATTTTGTGTGTGTGTTTTTTGTTTTTGTTTTGGTTTTTTTTAACTCTTAGTTGCTAATGGTCAAGGTGAAAATAAGACACTTGCTTTAAAAAAAAAAAAGTGGCATTAGAGGTTTTTATTTTAACATAACACACCACCTAAACAAGAACCTGTTTATCATGTACCTGTGACTTTTTTTATTCCTGTAGCTCAATTTGAAGCAAGCCCTCAAGTCTCTCTCGAGTCATCTCAGAGTTCACTGTCTCCCTCAGTCAGCAGTGAAAAGCATCTATCTAGTACAGGAAATCGAAGAAGTAAAAGAATTGCAAGCAAAAAAATTTACAGGTAACTTGTCTTAATTCACAGAAGCTACGAGTGCACACTGTTAAAAGTGAATTGAAAAGCAAAACAAAAAAGGATTGATCTTTTCTGTCATATGGATAAAGACAATCTCAACATTATTATTATTATTTTTTTTTAAAGTTTTAATATTGAAAAGATCGTGTCCTTCCACATGTAAAGTGAATTGGTGATCTGCCCAGGTCTTAGTGGCCAAGTATCCATACCAAACTACCATTACATTTGGGTTTTGTGTTGAAATGAACATGGACTAAAGCATTCATGTATGCTGCGCACATACTTTAAAAAAAATTGAATAATCAGGCAAGTTCCTAATTTCTTGTCATAATTCCAGTTAAACTGAATTAAATATTAGCTTTTTACTTTAGTATTTTAAAGAAACTGATTCTTTGGGGATAGTGGAGGTGTTTAAAAAAATCTAATAAGCTTTAAAAGTATTTTTTTTAAACTGTCCATTTTCAAGGAATCATTTACTCCTTAATTGCTTATTTCAGTTCTTGTAGGTCCTGATCCCTTTTTAATATCTATCATTCTGTTTCTGTATTTTCAATACATCATACTTCAGTCGCATCCATTTCTAAAGCATACAAATGTTAATTCCTTTTTTGGGAATAAAGATTAGGGCTGTCAATCGTGATAAAAAAATTAATCGCGATTAATTGCACTTGTAACAATAGAATACCAATTGAAATTTATCAAATATTTTTTGGCTGTTTTTCTACATTATCAATATTGATTTCAACTACAACACAGAATACGAAGTGCACAGTGTTCACTTTATATTACTTTTTATTAGATATTTGCACTGTAAAAATTATAAACAAAAGAAATAGGATTTTTCAATTCACCTCATACAAGTTCTGAAGTGCAATCTCTTTATCGTGAAAGTATAACTTACAAATGCAGGGTTTTTTTTGTTACATAACTGCGCTCAAAAACAAAACAGTGTAAAACTTTAGAGCCTACAAGTCCCCTCAGTCCTACTTCTTATACTGCCAATTGCTAAGACAAACAAGTTTGTTTACATTGACGGGAGATACTGCTGCCTGCTTCTTATTTACAATGTCACCTGCAAGTGAGAACAGGTGTTCGCATGGCACTTTTGTAGCTGGCGTTGCAAAGTTTTTATGTGCCAGACGTGCTAAACGTTCGTATGCCCCTTCATGCTTCAGCCACCATTCCAGAGGACATGTTTCTATGTTGATCACGCTCATTAAAAAAATAATGCGTCAATTAAATTTGTGACTGTACTCTTTGTGGGGAGAACTGTATGTCTCCTGCTCTGTTTTACATGCATTCTGCATATATTTCATGTTATAGCCGTCTCAGATGATGACGTTCATTTTAAGAACACTTTCACAGCAGACTTCACTAAACGCAAAGAAGGTACCAATGTGAGATTTCTAAAAATAGCTACAGCACTCGACCCAAGGTTTAAGAATCTGAATGTCGTCCAAAATCTGAGAGGGACGAGGTGTGGAGCATGCTTTCAGAAGTCTTAAAAGAGCAACCATCTGATGCGGTAACTACAGAACCCAAACCACCAAAAAAGAAAATCAACCTTCTGCTGGTAGCATCTGACTCAGATGATGAAAACGAACATGTCAGTCTGCACTGCTTTGGATCGTTATCAAGCAGAACCCATCATCAGCATGGAAGCATGTCCTCTGGAATGGTGGTTGAAGCATGAAGGGACGTGAATCTTTACCGCATCTGGCACGTAAATACTTTGCAACGCCAGCTACAGCAGTGCTATGCGAATGCCTGTTCTCACTTTCAGGTGACGTTGTAAACAAACAGCATCATCTCCTGCAAATGTAAACAAACTTGTTTGTCTGAATGATTGGCTGACCAAGAAGTAGGACTGAGTGGACTTGTAGACGCTAAAGTTTTACATTGTTTTATTTTTGAATGGAGTTTTTCTGTATCTAATTCTGCATTTGTAAGTTTAACTTTCATGATAGAGATTGCACTACTGTACTTGTATGAGGTGAATTGAAAAATACAATTTTTTTGCTTTTTACAGTGCAAATATTTATAAAAATATAAACTGAGCACTGAATATTTTGTATTCTGTTATAATTGAAATCAATATATTTGAAAATGTAGTAAACATCCAAAAATATTTAAAATAAATGGTATTCTATTTAACAGCACGATTAATTTTTTTAATTGCTTGACAGCCCTAATAAAGATCTGAGATTTTTGTATTACTCTATTTGCTCTTTGTACCTGTTCAATTTCTTGAACATCGCCTTATTAGTGTCAGAACTTGACACACTATTTTAAATAGAACCTCATTGGTCCTTTTTCTAGTATTTTAAATTATTTTATTTGTTTACCAGATTTCTTTCTGTGAAGCACCACTGCAAAGCACTATTGCACTAAAAGTTCAAAATAAAGGGCGTAGAAGAATATAAATTGTAAAAAGAAAGTAATATACTGAATTTATCTTTCCATGCACTTAAAAAAAAAAAAAAATTCAACTTTTTCAGGGTTGAATCAGGAAAAACTGGTTGCTTCTCTCCAAAGATTAGCCGAAAAGAAATGGTTCGCAGGTCATTACGTCTGAAATTTAGTCTGGGAAAAAGCAGCAAAGATGTAGTAAGTACATTTCTACTATCCTATTAATCTTTCTTGTAGCTTATTCTGTGGTGGTGGTTTTCAGCCTATGGTCTGCAGACTAAGCCTAAGATTTCCAAAGGGATCTGCACCTCCATTTGAAATTTTTTTTAGGGATACACTAAAGACAAAATTTTGAAAACCTTTTTAGGACATACATTATTTTTAAGAAAGACCAATTAATGTTTAAGGACAAGTGTAGAATGTTCTGTATACTATACGGTCCAGAACTCTAAAACCAGGTCTGACTTACTAAATTTTTTTAATTCATATTTAAGAAGTTCACTTTTAGCAGTTGCTGCAAATTGGAAAAGTATTTCCTGAATTGCAAATGTCAAAATCAAAAAGGCCTAGAAAGTAACAGAAGATCTAAATGACTTCCCCACGTTCAGCTTTTTAAAAAGATTAAGATTAGTTTTCTTTTTTTCCTTCTCTCTTCCCCCTCCCTCCCCCCTTAAGAATGTTTTAACTGGATGTCCAGTTGGTAAAGGATCTGAAAATATTGGTCGGCGACTTGCAAGTCAACAAGACTTGGAAAATACAGTTGAATCTGTAAAGACAGATATACTTTTCAGCACACGTGTCAGTGAAAAATTCTCAAAGAAAGGTAAATGTCTTGCAATACTTGCTGAATATAACTAAAAAAAGAGCTTGTATTTTTGTGGAGGTAAGGATAGCTTAAAAACCTAATGATTGTTTTGATATCTTTAGTTATTAAAAGCACTGAAAGTGAGCTGGTAAAGTGAAAAGCAGTTAGACAATATTAAAGGTTCTTACGAAGCAATAGATAATTTATATTAGCTATTTAGAGACAATTCTCTTTTTATCTATAAAAACAAATATTTGCATTATATCATGGTTTGCTTCTTTGACATTTGAACCTAATTGCTCTTTAATATTGTAACCTGTTTATGAAGGACTTTCATCTCTTTGAAAAAAAATACTGCAAGTCTCAATTTCAGTGAATGGCATGGCCTTTAAACTCTTAATGTTTTTTTAATAACCTGTGTCATCGGCAAGAGTTTTTTTTGTCTGGTTTAGTTAATGTTCTATGAATACTAAGGCTAACCAATATTTTAAACAAATAATTCTATCAAACTTCTCTCAAGGTTCACAAATAATGAGCAAGTCGGAGGAGAACTTGCTAACTCCGAAATGTGATAAAGCAAATTACCGAATGTCTTGGAATGGACCCAGTATTACAGATTCTCATGGCACCAGCAACAACGAGGCAAGTCTGATGGGATATCTTGAAACTGAAGGCTGTTTTTCAGAACCTGTTCTTATAGTTGGAAAGCCACCTGCCATTCCAGATGACTTAAGGTCCACTACTGCAAATCATAAGCAAGATAATAGTCTAAGGGAGTACTCGCTTTGTGTGGATGAGAATAACTTGACTACAGAAACATTATTGAAAATTAAGAAAGCATTTTCTGAATCTGGAAGCAATCTTCAAAATTTAATAGGTGATGCAAAGTCTTCTGTATCAGATTTAAGAGAAGAAAAGTTAACTGAAACTCCGTGTCTCTCAGGGGTTAGTCCAGAGAAGGACCTTGTTGAAACTTCAGCGCTGAAAAATCCAAGGATCAGTTTAACCAGTTTGCTAATAAATCTAATACCACTGACAAATATCAATCAAGTAAAGATGAAATCAAGGTTGTGGAGGAAAACTGCTTCCAAAATCCTATTGAGATTGAACTTCAGACACAGAAATTGGGCATGGAAGATGCACCAGAATTTAGTATGCCTCAGGTAATGTCCAGAGAGGACAGATTGACTTTTCAGAACAGTTATTCAAAAGATAATTTAAAGAAGATAGATTCCTTCAGAAGAAAAGAGGGTGAGGAACTGGAACAGTCAGAAAGAGTTGCTGAAGATTACGAGCTGAAGTCCCGTAATTCAGCTCAGCCTATTGCTGCTGGGGAGCTCCCTGTCTCGCAGTTGTTGGAGTCTAGAAACAGACCTGGCAAACTGTACTTGCAGACTGGAGGTTATGATAATACTGTACCTAAAACTTTACCAGTTTCTGACCATGGAAAGGTTTCTGATCACGTCCACTGGTTCAACAAACTTTCATTAAATGATCCATGTTCCACAAGCAAAACTAAACCACCTCTTAAGTTTCAACGTACCCCTGTCCGCCAGTCTGTAAGAAGGATAAACTCCCTCTTAGACTCTAACAGACAATCTGTAAACTATAAGTTGGCAAAACCTGGTGATGTTTGTTCTCCTCTTGTTAAATCAGTAAGCTATGATACTGCACTATCCTCCTGTACAGAAAAGTTCTCAAAGAATTCCACAGTTTCATTGCTGTATTGTGAAACTACACACACACAAGTTTCTACATCATCTGAACTAGACTTAGCATCCAAATCTTCAAAATCGATAAATCCGCTAGAACAGGCTGATGCTTCTGTGAAAACAGTTAGAATCTGCAAACAGAAAGTAACTATTGGTAACCCATCCAAATCTGTTCTAGAAGATCTAACCAATCATGAAGCACCAAAAGCTGCTGTAAAAATGAACTCAAGTATAAACATTCTGATTGCTACACCAGATAAAAGTACCCTCAGGAAAAGTGCTACAGGAAAAGAAAAAGCTCGATACAGGGGATCTCCAAAGAATCCAATATCAAAAGCAAAACTCCTGCCAACTACTAAACCTGTAGACTTATAAGTACTAATTTGACTATTAACTCAATTGTTCTAGAACTACTTTAACATTCTTTGAGAAAATTAAGTCTGTATGTGATTCTTAGTTCTGCTTTTTTGTAAAATAGGAATTTTTTCTTTTTAACTTGTACAAGTAAACTTTATTCTCTGTATGATATTAGGTATTTTTCCATTTACTTTGGCTTCTTATGATTACTAGTCAGCTGCTCATTTTAATTTTGACTAGATTTTTAAAAATTAGAAAAATCTAGTTTAAAAACTTATACAAATAAGTTACAATAGGTTATGAATTGCTATCTCAGACACTGAGTCAGATCTTTTTAGAAATAACAGGCGAGCCTGAGGCATTTCAAAATCTTGCTGCTTCCAGTCAAGAGAGTAGTAGTATTTCTTTGAGACAATTTCTAGATATTTAAAAACAAAACCAACACATCCAAAAGCAAAATGGCTGATTGCTGACTATCAAAATGTGAAACTTTTTTCCATTTACTGTACTTGTCTTAATTCTCTAAATGTATTAAAATACTACAGTCAAAAAGAGACTCGTCAGTGTTCAAACTTCAGTATCAAAGTAGACTTCACTACTGCTCCAATTCCTGTGTGGCCAGAGAATATATTGCTTTTTGGTGTAAGTCAGGGTACCTATGGCTTTTTTCCCCCGCTAGATAGGTGCATTTTTTGTCTATGCAGATATATTCCTATCTAAGCATGTGTGCCCACAAGTTGGAGAAATGGTTGAGCATATGGAAAACAAATATGCAATTAGATACTATTAAAAGATAGTATTAAAAATCTTTGTACAGTACACTTGGCAGCATGGGTGTGTTCTGTTATGTTTACCTGATATCTTTATTTTGCAGTCAAGCTGTAAAATAATGTTAATAGCATGTATGAGACTATTTTTTTTTTCTGGAGCAATTTTATGTAGCTAATCATATGATGCAAAAGTAGATTAAAGTACACGGTCACTGAAATAATGGAAGACAAAAGTAAAAAGCCATATTGTTAAAAGTTCATTTGCACAAACAGATGTTTACATCTATCTTCGCATTAAAACTGTTTACATCTATGTCATATTCATTGTAAAATTATTTAAGAGTAAAAACCTTGAAACTTTTCCATTACTGATTTCTGTATGTGTAGCTTGTTTGCTGGCAGAACTTAAGAGCTTTTGGTATGTACACCTCTACC